CTCAATTGCATACTGAACATCGGGGCTCATGAGAAATGGAGTATAATTGAACAAAAAAGATGACATCACAGCCACAGGTGGGTGAAAATAAATATTGTAATTTTCCGACTATAAGCCGCGACTTTTTCCCCATTTTTCGACCTTGCAGCTTATATACTGTAACAATGACGCTTATTTATGGACTTTTACAGCTAACGGCCACTAGGGTCATACCCTAATCTATGGATTTTACCATCCACCATGTTGATGTCACATTTGCTTCAACACACAAGTACGGTAGCTGCGTGTGGGGGAATGCGGAGGTAGCGAGACAGCGAGAAAGACGGACATTAAACATAAAAAACCTGCGGCTTATAGTCCGGTGCGGCTTGTATAAATGCAATTTAGCTTCTGCGGCTTATATTCAGGTGCGGCTAATAGTCCGAAAATTACGGTACCATTATTAAGGTCGCTGGATTAAACTTTAAAGTTAGTTAGAAGCTCCATTTTATAGGTTACCTTAAATAGGGTCGCTACTCCAAGGAATTGACAGAAGGCAGCAGAGGAGGTTCAGGAATCTGATAAGGATGAATTATAGTAAAACCTTTCTAAATTTGAATATTTAGAGATATAATCTGACCTGGAGTGAAAGGGGGCTCTGTTCAGTTGAATTAGATCTGAACTCATGTCCATATAGAACCCTTAGCTAACCCTCCTCATGAGTTGGTGCTGTATTGAAAGGATGAGTTAAGTAAAATTTACATAGAAATAAGACTTCACAAAAAAATGTTTTCAATCACGCATCATGTTAACACAATCATGTTTCTGATAGCAAGGCTTTGTGATGATGCATCATTTGCATAACCAGTGCCCTTGAACATCATTGACAATCTTGATACCTCAATGACACAGCAAGGATATGAGAAACGTGGCCATAGCAGAAAAGTGGGCAACAGTTTCTATACTATTAGAAATTAAAATAGTGTTTGGAAAGTTATTCATATTAATGAATATTCCTTAATACTCAAGAAGGTTCCAGATTCAAATATGAGCTTAGGGTCTTTCTGTATTGACTATGCTGGATTCTCTCTTGGTTTCTCTAGCCTCCCCCACAGTCTACAAGCATGACTGCTGGGTTAATTATACTCTCTGTCCCTCCTATTGTGCAGTTACTGCTGGAAATACCCTGCAAGGAATAAGATTGATCCCTGTACAGTCTGGTGGGTTCAAGACTGGCTGTTGGTTCACTAATGGTCTGTGAGTGTTTCACAGATCGGCTTGAGTTATACTGAGCATAAATCAGTTTGAGTCCGTCTGCGATCCAAGAAAGACCCAAACAGTCAACGGTCGCAGCAGTAAGGCCAACACACTTCTCCAGTTTCTCCAGTTATACTTTTCTGAATCCAATAAAACCGGCATTGTGGTTCTTACAGTGTTTGTGCAATGGCAGTCTCTGTACCGCTGTGAGCACAGAAAACGGAATAAAAGCTGTCAAAGCGGTTGGTCATTATTAACAAGGTTACTGATGAATGGGCTTGTAACTTTTCAGAAAGGAACCTGTCCAGGTTTTTCTTTTTTAAGCAGGAGTTATTTTTTTAACTCCTGTTTTTAAGACCTTGGAAAAAAACTAACAAAAAGGTTGAGTGTCTTGGTTGAAACAATTCAGATTCTACGACCAACAAATTTTCTTTAAAGATAAGTTATATCTACACATTCTCCTTCGTAACTCATCTATTATTGATATTTGGTCAAGCCCCCTGCATGTCAGGCAATGACATGATTGTGGTACCTCTCACATCATATACTGGTGCACAGGGAGCATGACAGATTGCAGTCTTTCTGTCACCTGAAATGGAGACCTTGTTTTACAATATATGCATGTGACCTGTGACGAAAAGTTTAGGCAACAAAGTTGTTGTTGGCTTTAGTGAGTGCACAGTAACATCTAATAATGTTTTAGGTTTACGGGATATGGGTAAAGCAGTAGCCCCCCAATCTTTTTTTTGCGCCACGGACCGGTTTAATGTCAAACAACATTTTTATGAAGTGGTTTTTAGCTGTAGTCAACACATGTCAGGAGTGAGTCATAGACGGATGTAACAATGTGAATCCTGTCATTTTTCAAAATAATACAGCATTTAGACTTGGAAGATAAATCAGGCAGAAATAATGCAAGTAATTTGTTTTTTTTGAGTGCCCCGGTACCAAATTACAGTTCGACCAGTACCGGACCAGGACCAGGGATGGGGATCACCTGGGTAAAAGAAGTGTTAGTGTTAGGTTTGCAATTTGAAGTTCATGTGAAATTTTCGAGAGTTTCTGCCTGTCATTCAATAACGACAGTGTCATGATTTTTCTAAGGCTTGGACCCACATGCAGTAAAGCCAAACAGAGAGACACAGTATAAAAGTTCAACGGGTTTTATCGAAGAGTATTTTGAGTTCGGTGCAGAGTTCCTCTGAACTCTGCTCGGCCAGGAAACTGGAAGACGAGGGGAAGATAGACTGGTAGATTCAGGCTCAGTGGGGAATTGGAGTTCTTAAACTTGAAGGAGAGGATTTGTTGCCACTCACGTTTCCAGAGAAGAAGAGACACGTAGACTCCAGTCTGTGTGTTGGTCTTCCAGAGTTTGTTTGATTCGGTGGAGGGCGGAACAGGGTTTACCCAGAACTCGGACGGAGTGGAATGATGCAGTCGCTGGTCTCAACTCAGTTTTCCTGTGGTACTTGAACAGGTCGTGGTGAAGATGACTTCCTTACTCAGAGAGATCTCAGCGTGCTCAAAGGGGCTGGATCCAAACCTCCTGTTTGGAATCCGTCACTCAGTGTAAGACTCAGTTGATCCCACTTGGGAGAAGGCGGTCCGAAAAGGTTCAGTTTGCAGGAAGGCTTCCTGCCAAAAGGCAAAGAACAAACAAAGTTGAGACTCAGGGAGAAACAAGTGCTCAGCAAAACTCAATGTAATCTCAGCTTGGCTAGAGGACAAAAACTCAAAATGCAAAAACTTAGATTAGACTCAGCATAAACAAGGCTTGGCTACAGTACCCCAAACTGGCAAACACTCTGGGTCGAAGTAGTGGCAACTAGCAGCCTAAGAGCAGTCCGGTGATGAGGCAACAGCTTGCAGGTGTGTGAGGAGGCGAACCGGAGCCAGGCGCCTCCTGGTGGTGGAAGGGAGAAACACAAAAGACAAGACAAACAGACGAACACAAAAACTGGGATTCTGACATTTTTTGCTTATTGGTTCTCTGATTTTGTATATAGTTCTTTCCTCCTGTTGTTTTTTTA